CAACTGAAGGGACAGAAGGAAAGAGAATGGAGTGACTGGAATGCTGAAAAGGACGATTCTGCGCTGCAACATTTCATTGCAGCGTCACACTTGTTATTCCACAAAAATCTAGAATAAGAACTATTGCTCTTACGCAGCACTTGAAGAGCACTGATAAATGTCTTCTGTTGGCAGGCAACAGGTGGCTTAATCCTCCTTCTTCCAATCCTGATGAATCCCCTTAGACTCTGTGCCCATCTTTTTCTCGGCAGAGGAAGGCACAAGAATAGATGCTGCAGCCACTATTAAAAGTCTGCTTGTCTTGGAGAATGGCTGGGGTTGTGTGCTTGTGGTGGCTGAACCCAGGAGTTATGGGTTCCTCTGTGACTCATTTCTACTCACGGGAGAGAGAAAGTGCTTTTGCAGAGATGGACTCAAGCCTAGCAGGGAAAGGGGATTTTTAAAAAGGGGAACGACGAAAAGAGGGAGGACATGATTCACAGATCATCCCTACTAGCTTCCCACAACTTGAATACTAATTCTGTAGCAGAACAGTTCGTGTTTCCATTTCCTTCTGCTTGAGATCGAATAGACATACCAGATTTTTCCTCTCTTTTTTAATGTAAAGAGAACACTCTAAGGACTGGGGAAAATGTATAAACAGTGATGTGGCATGGGCACAAAACACAAAATTTCAACACCCAGTGCTGCCTCAGTACTGCTGCATGCTTCCGTCGCTGGGCTCTGTGGAACCAGGAAGTGAACTCTACAGAAAATGAAATGACTTCTTTTCCTATGATCTCCTGGGTGACACAGAGAGGTGGATGCACATGCATACTCCGTTTCCCTCCCTGACACACAGCCCTGGGCACTGGAAACCCATGCTATGCCACTGCATAGAAAGAAACTGTTTCTTTCTCTCTCACACTTGTGCTAAGAAGCAGCCTAGTTAAAAATGCAGCTCTTCCATTTATTGTATTACCAAGGCTGTCGTTTGCACACAGACCATTGATTCATCTTGTCCAATATTGTTTGCTGTCGTTGTAGTCCCTCCAGGGTCTCGGGCAGCCTCACCAGCAACTTGATATTTTAACAGGAGATGCTACGTCACCTGGGATCCTCTGTATGCGAAACACGAGCTCTGCCCCTGAGCTGTGGGCCCCTCCCCATATTTTTCTTCCGTCGTGCAGATAAATGCTGCAACTTTGCAACGCAATAAAGACATCTGCTGCGGTCCGCAGCGTTTGCCTGCAGGCACCTGTTTGTTTATTTCTGTCATGCTGCCTTCTGTCAGAGACACACACATCTTGATAGGCCATTAATCCTAGCTAGCATATTGTCAAGCTTGGCGTCAGCAAGCTGTGCGGTTCAAGATGCAATGTATCATCTCGTCTGCTTTTGCTCTTTTGGCACTACTCCGTGATCACTGCTCATGGAATGGAAATGTCAGACATAAAACCATCCTCAGTAGTCCTCACGAGGCCATCGAGACCTAAGAAGTGTCGTGCAGTGGTTGACGTGGTGGACTTAAAGCAGGAAGATCCGAGTTCCCATTTCTACTTGGCAATGAAGTTCACTGAGGGAGCTTTGGTCAGTCGCACTTCCTGCCTAAGCCTTCCTCACAGGCTTGTTGCTGCACTAAGCTCCTTGGAAGAAGCATGGAGTAAAATAACAAATTATTATTATTATTATTATTATTATTATTATTATTATTACAGTGGTACCTCTGGTTGCAAACGGGATCCGTTCTGGAGCCCCGTTCGCAACCTGAGCAGAACGCAACCCACGTCTGTGCATCTGCGCATGCGTGGGTCGTGATTTGCCGCTTCTGCGCATGCACATGACATCATTTTGAGCATCTGCGCATGCGCGAGCGGCGAAACCCGGAAGTAACCCTTTCCGGTACTTCCGGGTCTTTGTGGGACGCAACCTGAAAACGTAACCTGAAGCAAACGCAACACGAGGTATAACTGTATTATTATTACATATTTTTATTATTATTATGAATAGTTATTATTACAGTGGTACCTTGGTTCTCAAATGCCTTGGAACTCAAACAATTTAGAACCCAAACACTGCAAACCCGGAAGTAAGTCTTCCGGTTTGCAAACCTTTTTCGGAAGCCGAACATGCTCCGTTTTGAGTGCCACACTTCCATTTTGAGTGTTACGCCAAGGTCTGTCTGTTTTTGCTATTTATTTTGCGTTTGTTTGTTTTTTGCGGATCTTTTTTTGTTTTTGTGACTGTGTGGACCCCAGTTCAGCTACTGATTGATCGATTGTGTGACTGCAGTACATTGTTTATTGCTTTCGTTTTATGGATCAGTGGACTTGTTAGATAGTAAAATTCATGTTAAATTGCTGTTTTAGGGGTTGTTTTTAAAAGTATGGAACGGATTAATCCATCTTGCATTTCTTTCTATGGGAAAGTGCGCCTTGGTTTTGAAACGCTTGGGTTTTGGAATGGACTTCCAAAACGGATTAAGTTTGAGAACCGAGGTACCACTGTACTACTACTACACTTACTTGCCTCTCAAGGTGATGTACAAAATATAATAAAAATAGTTTAAAAACATAACAAAAAACCACACACACAAAAAGAAGTTATTCACTGAGGAAGAAAGCATTGCCTGCCATATTTCTTCTCCCTGTTATTATAGCTGCATGGAGGGCCTGCCTGACAGGATTCGATTAAGGAAATGCCAGCGTCTTCCAGCGCAGGCTGACATAACATTTTCTAATTTATGTTCATATTCTAGCAGCTTGTTAAGTCGCAGAGATAAAACATGAATGCAAACATTTTTTCTGAGCATTGTTGTTTTGGGATAGTCTGAATAGCAGAGACATTAGGTAGTCTTAAGAGAGATTCTGCCTGAAGGAAGCAACACACAGCTCAACGTACGTGCTGTAAAATGGCACTTAACTAATTGTTAAGTGGAAAGATAACAACCAGCCTTATCCCTGTTTTGAACTGAACTGGAACCAATCCAAAATGTCTAGCAGCATTTCCTTAAATTTGCCTTCAGAGTTTTAATGCTGTTTCCAATATTTCCTTCCTCTGAATAGCTTAGCCGTCTCTTCCCTTTCCCAACATCTCCTGCCTCATTTGGAGGCAGCCGATGCATCGAACAGCACCCAGAACAGAACTTTCAACCAGTGCCAGGAAGAATCCAGCCTCCCGTGCGTCTTTTTAAATGTTTTTTTGCTAGTTTCATACAAGCCTTTCTTCTGAGGTTGCCATGGGACGTTTTTTTACTGGCTCCTTCCCTATGATTTGCAGACATTAGCAGGTGATTTATTTCCATCCTGTTTGTAAAAAAAAAAAAAGGCACCTGCTAAGTTTCTGCAAAACAGGCTACTGTTGAAGGCACAGGAGCTGTTATGCTGAGTTATATCTTCAGGACTTTATTAGGATTAATAATAAGCATACAGAGTAACAGCGACCCCCGTTCTCTGAGTGCTGCTCTTCCTGTGGCCAAATCAATACCATTCACACAAAAGAGGTGGTTTTGGTAAACCTTAGAGTTTGCAAAAGTACAAGAAAGCTTTTGAGGGGAAAACCCTAAGGGTAAGAAACATGGTGGGAAGGTCTTCTTCAAAAGAGAGCATTCAATTCCATTGAAAAACTCAGGGTGCCTTGGGTTAACCCTGGTACCTCGGGTTAAGAACTTAATTCGTTCTGGAGGTCTGTTCTTAATCTGAAACTGTTCTTAACCTGAAGCACCACTTTAGCTAATGGGGCCTCCTGCTGCTGCCGCCGCACCACCGCCACACAATTTCTGTTCTCATCCTGAAGCAAAGTTCTTAACCTGAGGTACTATTTCTGGGTTAGCGGAGTCTGTAACCTGAAGCGTCTGTAACCCGAGGTACCACTGTACTTTGGTTGTATCTGCTATATTATTGCCCAGTAGTATTGTTTGCTCTGATGGTCCATCTCCAGGGTCTCCCCATAATTTGTAACTGGATCCTGGAGGTGCCAGCGATCACTTGGGACCCAATGCATGCCAAGCCTGTGCTCTATGGCTGAGCTATGGAACCCATGCTTAAACAGAATTAGACCATTTAATGGAGGACAAGGCTATAAACAGTTACTAGTTATGATGACTGTGTTTCACTGTCAGAAGCAGTGTGCCTCTGAATATCCATTGTTCAGGAGAACATGAACAATGGCTTCCTGCAGACATATGGGTTAGCCACTAAGAACAGGATGCTGAGCTGGATAGACCCATAGCTGTCAACTTTTCCCTTTTCTTGCAAGGAATCCTATTCGGAATAAAGGAATTTCCCTTAAAAAAAGGAAAATGTTGACAGCTATGGATAGACCATTGGCCTGATTCAGCAGACTCTTCTTATGTCCTTACAGAAGAACCTCCAGGTTCAGCAGATGGATATGAAGAAAAGGGAATGCAGGTGGTGCTGTGGTCTAACCCACTGAGCCTCTTGGGCTTGCCGATCAGAAGGTCGGCGGTTCGAATTCCCGCGATGGGGTGAGCTCCCATTGCTCTGTCACAGCTCCTGCCAACTTAGCAGTTCGAAAGCATGTCAAAGTGCAAGTAGATAAATAGGTACCGCTCTGGTGGGAAGGTAAACGGCGTTTCCGTGTGCTCTGGTTTCTGTAATGGTGTCCCGTTGCGCCAGAAGCAGTTTAGTGATGCTGGTCACATGACTCAGAAAGTCGTCTGTGGACAAATGCCAGCTCCCTCGGCCTGAAAGCGAGATGAGCGCCACAACCCCATAGTCGCCTTTGACTGGACTTAACCGTTCAGGGGTCCTTTACCTTTTATGAAGGAAGGAGAAGGCAGAGCTTTGCATGGCATCGTGGAAATAACCATCAGTACTTGCTAAATGCTGCATACCAAAAAGATAAAAGGTCCACCTATAGAAACCACTTCCAAAGTTGGCACCCTTCCTTGGGAAATGAGCAACAATGCAATTGCCAAGCTCTCTTAGTTGCAAAAAAGGCTCCAGGCCTATGCACACTTTCCACTGAACCCAATGGGACTGTGTAAACAAGCATGGGGCATCACCTGTAGCTCAGATGGTTAGAGCATGGTGCTGATAACGACAAGGACACAGGTTTGATCCCTATATGGGACATCTTCAAATTCCTGCACTGCAGGGAGTTGGAATCAATGATTCTCAGCGTCCCATCCAACTCTGCGATTCCATGCCCTCCAACATTTCTCTGACAAAAATAGGGACATTCTATTCTATGTCAGGAAGCTTCTCCCACATTTGATCTTGCCGTACACATACGTATACTTAATATACACATCAACATCGGTCACCTTGAGCCAACGGCAACTTCTCTGCCAAACCTACCTCACAGGATTGTTGTAAAGAAAAATGTGTGAGGGAAGGGATCATGTACAACACCTTCAACAGATAAATGAATGATATAAAATTTTAGCTGTAAGCTGACTTGAGTCCCTGTCAGGGAAAAAGATGGGGAAATAATAATAATAATAATAATAATAATAATAATAATAATAGAAGAAACTGCAAGAATGATAAGGAGCATACCAGAGAGTAAGTCCTGTTGAACTCAGTGGGACTTAGTTCTGAGTAAAATGCTTTTGACTGCAGTGTGAGCTACACAGTCTTTACCCATTTACCTGGGAGTAAGGTCTATTGAATGCAGTGGGACTTACTTCTGAGTTGACATGTAAAGGCATGCAGCGTGAGGCTCAATTTACAATAAAGGAATAAACATGCCCCCCGTTTCCTAAAAAATGGTTGGCTGCCGAAGCATTGCAATTAAAGAATTTAAAGTGGATTGCTTACGTTTTCCTTCAAAATTATAGGAAGGCTTTGCATGCCAGCTTCACCATTTCCTTCATTTTCAGTATAAACAGGACTCCTTTTTTGCACCTACGCACACTGCTTATAATTGTTCTCCGAGACATGGAGAGTAGGAAAAAGGCAAATGGGGACATTCCGGGATCCAATCCGAAACGGGTGCCTTATGCAATTCCAAGACTGTCCCTGGAAAATCTGGGCACTTGGAGGGTGAAATATACTCAGAGTCGAGTGTGAATTTCATGCTCTTTATTCAGCTCATAGTAGTGAGGAATGAAACTTCCCTCAAAATATCTGCTTTATATACATTATTTACACAAATGGGTCACACGTGACTGGCTAATTCTGGGATTCTCCTGTAGGCCAATCAGGTTGCAGATTCACTTCCACCTGGAGCTGGATTGGGTGGAATGGGTGGCTCCTGCGGACCAATCATACTGCTGCATGCTGGACCTTATTGTTCTAGGACCAATCAGACTGCTGCATTCTGGACCCTATTGTTCTAGGACCAATCAGACTGCTGCATTCTGAATCCTATTGTTCTAGGACCAATCCGACTGCTGCTTTTTGGATCCTATTCAACTCAGTACATAACAGAGGGTATGCAATTCAATGATTCTATGTGTTTAGAAATGGGATTGAGATCGTTCAACCCAGGCTGGACCTCTGATCCATTTCATATTCTACCTAGATTCTCGGTCACATTCAGAAAGTGATTGTCAGAGTGAAACAAGACAGACGTTGTATTGCTGAAGAAGACCCCTTCCCTCCCAACGTCTACATTAGCATCAACATTCAACTAATGTCTGCCTTCCATCATGCAGCTCTTGAACTCCTAGTAACATGGATTATGCGATAGTAGATGCATCTTGCAGTCTCCTTCCTCCTCATTCCTTGCACATGTTATCTGTGTATGTCCTGTGTTGCCGGAAAACGGCTTTGGAATAAATGCTCTGCAAAGTGCTTACTCGTGTAAACACGATGGCTTGCTGGAAAGACGCCCAGGAATGTGGAGGAAAAGCGGAGATCTCACCCAGCAGCCTTTCCTTGTTAGAAAAACCATCCAGGAAGACCGGGTGAATAAACAACCTAGGCTCTTTCTGGTCTCCTTTGTAGGATGAGGGGGACCGAATCAGGAATGAAGACTTGGGCTTATGCCAGAACGGTGTTGTTGTCATATTGAAAACTTGATGGAATGCAGTGTCGATCTGAGATAAGGAAATGGGAAGGGAAACTAAGATAAAAGTCAGAAAGCTTTGGAGCCAAAGGGAGGGGAGTTAAGCTAGCAGAGGCAACGGGGGAAATGCTAAAACCCAATATGTTGGGCCCCAGATCTCGTTGAACTACAACACCCATGAGACCTACCCAACAGGACCACTGGTGAGGAATGATGGGAGTTGTAGTCCAACAACATATGTGGGCCCAAAGTCGAGAATGGATGTTTTAATACCTGAAGGATGCATCATTGACTCATGGCATCACCTGTAAAGCTCAGTTGGTTAGAGTGTGATGCTGATAATGCCATGGTTTCAGGTTCGATCCCCAGTGGCATATTCCTGTGTTGCAAGGGTTTGGATCATATGATACTTAGGGTCCCTTCCAACTCCATGATTTATTTTTACAGTGTGACATAGCTGTCAACCGTCCCTTATTTGGCGGGGAACTCCCTTATCCCAGCGCCGTGTCCCACTGCTGTCCCTTATTGATGATGTCCCTTAAATTTCCCAGGTTTCAAAGGAAGCAGTTCCTCTCCCTCCCACCCTGCCGGCCAGGGAGGAGGGAGGCTCCAGCTGTGTTGCTTGGCTGCGTTGCTCACCCAATAAGGAGTCTAAGAACGACTGGGGGGTGGAGCTTGCATGCCTTGTGCCAATCAAATCGGCCACGTTCCCTGGGGACTCGCCTTTCTCAGCGCTTCCCAGCGGAGAGGTGATGGTGGTTTTCCTTGCTGCATCCCCTTTGCTGGGTTGCTGCACTGTGGGAACCACCGCTTGAGGCTTCGTTTGACTGCTGGCTGGGCTTTCTGCTTTTGGCTCGGAGAGGCTCAGAAGTTGAACATATCTGTGCCCTGAAAATCCCTTATTTTGGCTGCTGATCCCTTATTTTCGAGGCTGCTGGTCCCTTATTTTCAAATCTGTAAGTTGACAGCTATGCACTGTGACCATCCTGACATTTGTATGTATTTGAAAATTTATATATAAATATGTGAAAGGAGAACAAAAGCATAGGAAGACAGCATATTTTGGAAATATCTTACGCTCGCTTGTGAAGAAATGTATGTAATTCTAAACAAGTAGCCAGAGAAGACCGGCAGAATTTAAATGGGTTTGGCAGCTCACCTAGATCCATATATTCTGAAAAACAAGCGTGGGGAGAATCGGAACTGGCCTCCTTGGTCGGCCTTGAATAAATCACTTGTTCTGTCAAATGTGAACATTAACAAATTAGCTCACATGGTTGTGATGAGATGAGGTAATTATTGGCAACCATTTTGCATAGGAAATAGGCTATGGAAATGGTAAACAGAATAAAAACCCAATTATCTTTTTGATACCCTGAGTGGTTCAACCTGTAACCCTATATACATTTACATGGGAGGAAAGTCACATTGAACTCAGTGGAGCCTAGTTCTGAGTAGACCTGCATAAGATCGTACTGTTAATGTCTCAGAACGTTTGCTACCCTGATGGCTGTCCAGTATCGCCTACGTAGCAATCGCTTAGATATAACTGGAGGAAGAATTTCTTTTTCTCAGCGAGAATTTGGGGGGGAAATGTCACATCCTTACGTAAGAAGAGAAGGCAGGATTAGGCCAATGGATCATCTAGTCCAACCTCCTGTTTCTCACAGTTGCCAACCAGATGCCTATGCAAAGCTCAAAGACAGGACTGGATTAAGACCTTTAGTGGCTCTAAGCACTTAGAAGATTTGGGTGCCCCCATATATATCTAATTCAAGATATAAACAACAACAAACCGCAAAGTTAAAATTTTATTTTTCAAAATAAAACAAAGCCTACGGAAATTAATGCTGATCTTCGTGTGCTTCCATCCACTTTATTTACATTTGAAAAAGTTTTATCCCACTTTTTCTAATGGCAAACTCTTTGATCAGATCCTGAAAACCAATCTTATGTGGCACATCTGCTTCTATACTTAGTAGAGATAAGGCATCCAGCACGCCTTGTTGCATGGTTGTTCCGTTGGGATTTCTAATGAACGCTGAGCAATTTGTGACCATTAATGTTCAAAAACCGGCAATGGAAAATTTCTGTGGTGCTCCTCTTCCCTTGATGTCCTAAGCATGTGCTTATTTTGCTTAATGATTCATCCAGCCCCCACCTCTATCTATCTATCATCTATCTATCTATCTATCTATCTATCTATCATCTATACTCTCCCCACTTGTGAGTCTTAGCACCTGGTATTCAGAGGCCTACTGCCTCCATCAGTGGAACCAGAACATATCCCCCATCATGACTAGCCAGTGATCATCTTAATCTCCAGTACAGTGGTACCTTGGGTTAAGAACTTAATTTGTTCTGGAGGTCCGTTCTGAACCTGAAACTGTTCTTAACCTGAAGCACCACTTTAGCTAATGGGGCCTCCCGCTCCGCCGCGCCGCCAGAGCACGATGTCTGTTCTCATTCTGAAGCAGAGTTCTTAACCCAAGGTACTATTTCTGGGTTAGCAGAGTCTGTAACCTGAAGCGTATGTAACCTGAAGCATATGTAACCTGAAGCGTATGTAACCCGAGGTACCACTGTATAGACAAGCACACCCTCCAATGCACAGATCTCTGAAATGATGCATCCCTGTGGATGGCGTAGAACTCATTTTATTGTTATTATTTATCTTCTAACTGCTGGTTTGGAATCTGTACCATTCTTGTCTCCCCCCCCCCATATATATATATATATATATATATATATATATATATATTCTGTTGACCAGCTCTAGGGGGAAATTATATTTTGCTTTTGCTGAATTACTGAATGAAATAAAAGCAATCACAACCATAATGACTTTAATACGAGAGCTGCCTACTTAGAGAAAACCGGACGGTTGTTAGCATCAATAGTTGTGGGTGGTCCAACTTTGTGCCACCAGGAAGTCTCGCTCTGATCTGTCTTAATAGACTTCTTTTTTTAAAAGTAAGAAAATTCTTGCTAGACTATTTTTATCGGCTCCATATCTTTGCATGTGTTATTCTTTCTGTATTGCTGTTTTTGCGTTAAGTCAGCAAGTCATGCCTGGAAGGCTTCCCAATGTCAGAGGCTCCATTGCTTCTTCATAATGCCC